GCGCTGGGTCTGCTCGTGTGGCCGCCGGCGGTGCTTCGTCGAGGCGGGAGCCACTCTCTCCACAGGAGCTGCGCGAGTGGTTTGCCCGCCGCTGGAGACGTGCTGCTGAGACTAGGGGTGCTGCTGGGGCTATTGGAGTTGGTCCTGCTGGAGCTGCTGGCGGTACGAGTGCTGCTAGAGCTGAAGCTGCTGGGGGTGTTGACGCTGGTGTTTCTACTGACGCTGGTGCGTCTGGGGGTGCTGCTGAGGCTGCTGGTGCTGACGGTCCTACTGGAGTTGGTGCTGCTGGAGCTAGAGCTGCTGGGGGTGTTGGCGGTGGCGGTGCTGCTGGCGCTGGCGCTTCTGAGGGTGCTGGAGTTGGCGCTGTTGGAGCTGGATGTGCTGCTGGCACTGGTGCTGCCGCTGGGGGTACTGGTGCCGTCCTTGCTGGTTCTGCGCGGCCGAGGCCGTACTTCGTTCCGCTCATGGAGCAGGTTCTTGGTCTCCCGCCCTCTCCAGGTCTTGCTCCTCCCTTAGAGTGTTCACAGTCTGTCCAGTCGCAGTCACAGTTACAGCCCGGCTCCCCTCTACCTGCTCCTTCTCCCTACACTGGTCCTACTGGAGGTCTTGCTGAGCATCGTGAGCCTGCGTCTCGTCCTGCGTCGCCTGTTCGTGCTGCTCGCACTAGTGGTCGTACTGCGCGTCCGCGTCCTCCTGCGGTCCCCGGCACACACCAGATGGCGCTGTGTCCTTCCACTGCTCCTCTGCGTGTCCCGTTGCCGTCTCCTCCAGAGTCCTCTCTTCCTACTCTTGCTGACCCGTAGTCTGACTCTCTTCGTGCTGCTAGTCCTTCTATCACGCGTCTCCTAGCTACTGTTGTCACTGACCCTTCCTTTGAGTCCACTGCTGCGTCTGCCCTAGTTGGTGAGCTTGTCGACTTCGCTGCTCGCTGTCGTCTAGACTACGCTGCCAGTCTCGTTGCTGAGTCTGAGTCTGTCTGTCCTCCGTCCGTCGGGGGTGAGTGTGCTCTTGGCACGGACGTCCTTGAGGACAGGCAGGAGGAGTTCCAGTGCTTTGCTGCTGCTTTGCCCCATCTCGTGTCCACGCTGATTGCCCCTGAGGGAGACCTGGATGCACCAGACATCCGGACTCCTTGTTCGTACGCTGAGGCAATCGATGGTCCCCACTCCTCTCACTGGCAGTCGGCCATGGATGCAGAGATGGCTTCCTGGAAGTCCACAGGCACCTACGTAGACGAGGTTCCCCCACCTGGGGCGAACATCGTCAGTGGCATGTGGATTTTCAGGGTGAAGCGGCCGCCGGGTTCTCCGCCTGTCTTCAAGACGCGTTACGTGGCTCGAGGCTTCAGTCAGCGGCAGGGAGTTGACTACTTTCATACCTTCTCTCCCACCCGGAAGATGACCACTCTTCGGGTGCTGCTTCACATAGCTGCTCAGCGGGACTACGAGCTTTACTCTCTTGACTTCAGCACAGCTTTTCTGCAGGGCAGCATGCACGAGGAGATCTCGCTGCGCCGCCCTCCTTGCTTCACTGGGTCGTTTCCTCCTGGTACCCAGTGGAGCCTCCGGCGGCCAGTCTACGGTCTCCGCCAGGCGCCCCGTGAGTGGCACGACACACTGAGGACTACACTTGCGGCTCTTGGGTTTGCTCCTTCTACAGCCGACCCGTCGCTGTTTCTGCGCACCGACACCTCTCTGCCGCCGTTCTACATCCTCGTGTACGTCGACGACTTGGTCTTTGCCACAGCTGACACTGCTGGACTCGCCGACCTGAAGTCCGAGCTGCAGAAGAGACACATGTGCACAGATCTGGGTGAACTGCGCAGCTACCTTGGCTTGCAGATCACCCGGGACAGAGCACAGCGCACCATTACCCTGACTCAGTCACACATGGTGCAGCAGGTCCTTCAGCGCTTCGGCTTCACGTACTCCTCGCCTCAGGCCACTCCTCTGTCTACTCAACACTCACTCTCAGCTCTGCCTTCGGATGAGTCCGTAGAGCCGAGTGGCCCGTACCCAGAGCTTGTTGACTGCCTCATGTACCTGACGACCTGACCTTGCGTGCCCTCTTAGCATCTTGGCACCCTATGTTGCTCCTGGGAGACACCGACCAGAGCACATGGCTGCAGGAAAAAGGGTGTTGCGCTACGTGTGCAGTACGTCGGGCATGGGGCTAGTGCTTAGAGGGCTAGTACTCGTACCCAACTCTTTCATAGTTCATCCATTCTCTCGTTCTCATCTTCACATTGCGAACATCATCAGTCATCGGGGCTCACGAATGAAGAGCGTCCGTTGAACTTTCTGCACATGGGCGGATCCTTTCGCGTTTTGGTTGTAGAGGCGCTCGTTCCGAGCGTTTTCTCCCGCCGGGACACGTGGCTCCGCTTGTCTGGGCCTAAAACCAAGCCAGCAAGGGCGTGGGAGGATTACGAGCATCATCGGTCATCGGCGCTCGCGAATGAAGAGCGCCCGCTGCACTTCCTGCACATATGCAGATCCTTCTGCGTTTTGCGGGAGGAAGCGTTCGTTCTGAGCGTTTTTCTCCCGCCGGGTCAAATGGATGCGCTTGTCTGGACCTATTACCAAACCACCAAGGGCGTAGGAGGGTTGCGAGCATCATCGGTCATCGGCGCTCGCGAATGAAGACCGCTCGCTGCACTTCTTGCACATTTGCGGATCCTTCCGCATTTTGGGGCTAGATGCGCCCGTTCTTGGCGTTTTTCTTCCGCCAGGGGTCTTAAGAAAAAAAGAATAAAAAAAGAAAACAAAACACACACATACATACATTCACACACACACACACACACACACACACACACACACACACACATTCACACACACACACACACACACACACACACACACACACACACACACACACACACACACACACACACACACACACACACACACACACACACACACACACACACACACACACACACACACACACACACACACCCACACACACACACACACGCACGCACGCACGCACGCACGCACGCACGCACGCACGCACGCACACACGCACGCACGCACACACGCACACACACACGCACGCACACACACACACACCAATTTCAACACCGCCTCGACGATTCCAACTGAGTGTTTGTCTGCCTGTCGAGCAGCGCCATTGGTTTGTTCATTTGCAGCGGACGTCCCACGACCTTACCAAAAGCTGATAGCATTCAAGGTGTATGCATCTCTACATCAAACATCAAACATTTTCACCCTTTTAAAAATGTTGGGAAGTCAATGTTTCAATTTAATCTGGTGGCAGACCACCCCGCTTGGTGGGCCAGAGACGGGACGTGCTGGGCTGGGGAATATTGCCAGTTCGATTGAGGCAGTTCAGTTCTGTCAAGCTGTGGTTGTAAAAATGATCTCAAGCTCTGGGTCTTTCATGGGCGCTTCAACGGCGCCAGCTTCACCGCTTGGCGGGTCCGCTGAAAGCGCATGACGCCGTTTTCGCTTATCTTTACGGGAATCTCATTCGATAGCTGACAGCCTCGCCTAGGGCCGACGGCGTTCTCAGCTCTTCCGATGGAGTTTCTGAAATTGTCATGACATTGCCCGTGAAAGACGGAGCCAGCAAGCTGTAGAGTTCTCGTGCAATATGCGGTAAGACTTCCTATGAGCTCATGCTCTTGCCGCTTGATCATGTATCGCTGCCGACGATTTGTTTTTTTACTTCCGTTAACTTCCTGCATTTCATCGTGCGCAATTAAGCCGGCGATCACGAGGCATTCGTGCCGTTGAAGTGCATCGTGACTATGCTGCACGTAGATGAAACCAGATGGGTATGTCTGCTCGCGTGTAGGCCCTCTCGCAGGGCCTCTGTCATTGGTGGGCCTGGAATCCCCATAAATTCCATTCGTCGGAAAACGCGAACGCGCTCGTTGCTACCTGCAAAGGTAGTTGTTTTCTGTCACAGCATCTCATCCTCTTGCACTCTCTCCATTCCGCAGGTTGACTGGCATCTACGATAATGAAGACGGAGCTCCAAGTACTGAAGCTTGATGCTGTTGATGAAGCATTGATATGGTTTTCTTGGAACACAGGGTTCTTGAGGTGATGCTGAGATAGACATGCTATTACTCTATTTGTGGAGCTTGTGTTTCCGAAGTAGTTCCAGAAGGCTCTCCCAACAGCAAGCCAGCCAGCATCGCTCATGCGTGAAATGCTTGTAGAAATTAATATTTTAAACATGTTGTAAGGTCCATTTTTTTTATTATCAGAACATGACTATTCCACACGGCTGGGTAGTGCAGAGGTTTGTGTTGAGATGTTCATATCATCGTGAAAATATTGTATTAGAGTATTGTACTCCTGCCCACCGAGAATCTTGGTACTTAGCTCCGTTGGGCAACTGGTGCCAGGGACTCGTGTCAGAGGTCTAGTAGTCAAAACCGTGGCGAAGATTCAGTTGCTTGCCGCACATTCCCAAGGGCTAGAAATCAGATGCGCTCCTCCTTTTCGCTTGTAGTTCCTGATATGAGCGCGGCTGGTCGAGGCGGCAGAGGGGACTTGGAAGCGGGGCCTGAACCAGCCACGGATTCGGGTCTCGCTTCGGGATTCTCGTCAACCGGAGGGTGGTCGGTGCCGTCCGCCGTCGATATGCGATGGGTAGGCTGCTATGCTAGCAGTCGCATAGACTGATTAGTGTTACCCGCGCTTATTGCAGCTCAGCGGTTCAGGCTTCGTGCTAGTCGTGATTGCGTCTTACGGCGAAGGCTAGACTTTATTCGTTCAGAGTCTCCAGGCTTGAAACGCGGAAAGGCAAATGTAGCGCCAGCTCCTGCGCGACCCTTTCGCCGTTTTCTACTCCGTCCCGTGCCGTCCTGTCCGCTGGTCGGTCCAGTCCTGCCCGTGTTAAATTGTGTTTCCATGCGAAGACAACTCGCGCTCCTTGTGTTTATCACATGTCACGCGTTGCTTGTGTTCGCTTCTATCTGAACGCCAGATTCAAGGCACGCCATTTCTCCGCAAGGGTCTTACATGTGTCGTCCGTATTTCAAACCTCCCATGCTGTCCATGCTGCAGAGAGCACCAGGCGGCCAATCGTCAGGTTCCAGTAACGGGGGCTTCACTGGAACGAGCGGGCTGTCGATTCAGTCCGGTGGTGCACCACCATCCACCCAATCCGGCTTCCCGTTCTCACAGCCGCAGTCCGTCGGCCTCTCAGGATCAGGAGGCCAGGCATCCGTTGCAGCGCGGGAGCTGATTGTCAATGTCCAACCGCTCGTCTCATTCTCACCCGTAAGCAGCCCAGAGGTTCTTGTCCTTGTGAACAATGAAGATCGGTTTGTCTGACACCCAGTGTTCAGCCTCTGGCGCATTGACTCACTCCTCTCTCGTCCTGCCCTCCCCTACGTGCTCTCTTTTCCCTGCTCTGTGTTCCCTGCTCTCTGTGTCCTGCTCTCTCCTTCCTGTTCTCTGTTGTTTGCCCGCCAATGTACAGTCATGTTTCTCCTTATGCTGCTCAGCTTCCCTCAGGCTTCAGAGTTTCTGGTACGTCATTTCCAACCCCTCCTTGCCTGTCACACCACATTGTGAGCACTTGGACCAGTGCGTAAGGCGTTCCAGTCTCTACTTGGTATCTTCCTGGTTGCTGCTTATGCAAGCAAATCAACATTTACCTGCATTCATCGCTTTCTCTGCACTGCATACACATCGCTCCTTTCTTCCCTCCCCTCACCTTCCACACGTCCCCACTTCCCATCAGCTGTGGGTGTTCATCGGAGCGTTTTGTAGCAGCCATGCTGCGAGGCCTTTCCCTCTACCGCCATCTAGCCAACCAAGCGAGAGCCCAGCGTGCCTTTGCCCGCCTCCTCGGCCTCCCCCCTTCCTCCACCTCCTTCCTCCTCTCCAATCCATCTGCACTCGCCTCCCCTTTCCCCCCCCTTTGGGCCGCCGTTCTCGAGTCTTCCCTTCCAGCCTGCAAGGGTGCAGCAGTCCCACTCTCCGACCTCCCCTCCTTCCCCTCTCTCTCCCCTTTCCCCGCCTTTCCCTCGTCCCTCTCCCCTTCCATCACCCCGTCCTCCTCGTCCGGAAATCTTAGCCAATCCACGTCAGCAGCGGCCAGATCAGCATCGGCTTTAGCTGGAGCTGAGTCAGCACGAGATGGAGCAGCAGCATCTGCTTCCGCTGCCCAACGTATGCACGTGCAGCAGCCACAGGCACAGGCACTATCAGAGCTCGGTGGGGAGTGGTTTGGAGTGGGGGAGAGGGGTGGAAGAATGGAGGACGGGTCGTTGCTTGCTGCAAGAATAGGCTCTTTGGTTCGAGCACAATTTGGGCAGCAAGGTGTTTCTCGACAGCAGCAGCTGCAACAGCGGCAACAGCAGCAAGGGCAGCAGGGGCAGCAGGAGGGGGATCGCATGTGGTTGGAGCACCAGGCGCAGCTGCGGCGGTTACAACAGCACCTGGGGTTACAGCTGGCTCTCATGCACAGGGAGCTGCAGGCGTCAGGTGGGCAAGAGGTTTTTTAATCGATCCTGCATCGGATAGTGGTAGGGGTTGCCGTGTTCTTGTCTCTCCCCTCCCACGCGTCCCCATGATCCACGTGTTTGCACCTGGGGTTACAGCTGGCGCTCATGCACAGGGAGCTGCAGGCATCAGGTGAGAGAGAGGCTTCAAGCCCAACGCCCAAGCCCAATGCCCAAGCCCAATGCCCAAACCCAACGCCCAAGCCCAACGCCCAAGCCCAACGCCCAAGCCCAACGCCAAGCCCAACGCCCAAGCCCAACGCCCAAGCCCAACGCCCAAGCCCAACGCCCAAGCCCAACCCAGCGCCCAAGCCCAACGCCCAAGCCCCAACGCCCAAGCTCAACGCCCAAGCCCAACGCCCAAGCCAAACGCCCAAGCCCAACGCCCAAGCCCAACGCCCAAGCCCAACGCCCAAGCCCAACGCCCAAGCCCAACCCAGCGCCCAAGCCCAACGCCCAAGCCCAACGCCCAAGCTCAACGCCCAAGCCCAACGCCAAGCCAAACGCCCAAGCCCAACGCCCAAGCCCAACGCCCAAGCCCAACGCCCAAGCCCAACGCCCAAGCCCAACGCCCAAGCCCAACGCCCAAGCCCAACGCCCAAGCCCACGCCCAAGCCCACGCCCAAGCCCAACGCCCAAGCCCAACGCCCAAGCCCAACGCCCAAGCCCAACGCCAAGCCCAACGCCCAAGCCCAACGCCCAAGCCCAACCCAGCGCCAAGCCCAACGCCCAAGCCCAACGCCCAAGCTCAACGCCCAGCCCAACGCCCAAGCCAAACGCCCAAGCCCAACGCCCAAGCCCAACGCCCAAGCCAACGCCCAAGCCCAACGCCCAAGCCAACGCCCAAGCCCAACGCCCAAGCCCACGCCCAAGCCACCGCCCAAGCCCAACGCCAAGCCCAACGCCCAATCCCAACGCCCAATCCCAACGCCCAAGTTCAACGCCCAAGCCCAACCAACGCCAAGCACAACCCAACGCCCAAGCACAACCCAACGCCCAAGCCAACGCCAAGCCCAACGCCCAAGCCCAACGCCCAAGCCCAACGCCCAAGCCCAACGCCCAAGCCCACGCCCAAGCCCAACGTCCAAGCCCAACGCCCAAGCCCAACGCCCAATCCCAACGCCAAGCCCAACGCCCAAGCCCAACGCCCAAGCTCAACCCAACGCCCAAGCCCAACGCCCAAGCCCAACGCCAAGCCCAACGCCCAAGCCCAACGCCCAAGCCCAACGCCCAAACCCAACGCCCAAGCCCAATGCCCAAGCCCAACGCCAAGCCCACGCCCAATCCCAACGCCAAGCCCAACGCCCAAGCCAAACGCCCAAGCCCAACGCCCAAGCCCAACCCAACGCCCAAGCCCAACGCCCAAGCCCAACGCCCAAGCCCAACGCCCAAGCCCAACGCCCAAGCCCAACGCCGTGTGTTCATCTGGGGTTACAGCTTGTGCTCATGCACCTATAGCTGCAGGCGTCAGGTGGACGACAGGCTTCAAGCGGATTTCTCACCTCCGCTTGAGCTCTGATTTGGTGAATTAGTTCCCACACTTCGTTGCCACGTGCTTGTCTCAGCCCAGGAGTCATTAGTTTCCCTGTGTGTCCCCCTTTCTGCCTGCTCCGTTCCAGACTATGATCTGCTGCGTGCACTGGATGCGGACAACACTCCATCTGTCCCTGCCCTGAGCGATGTCGAGATTGCTCGCTTGCCTGCTTTCCCATACAAGCCAAAGAGGTATGTGGTTTGCTCACTGCCTGATCAATGAAACGAGCCATCAAGACCTCCTACTGGTAGGGCGTTTGGCACCGCTGATGCATCCTCAGCCATTCCCTGCACCATGGTGCCGGGCATTGCCGTGACTATCCATTTGCAATGTTTTCCCTTGTCCCTCGTGTAAAATCTTGTAGCGGCGATGGATTTGCTCTGATTGCAGTCAAGCTGCCCTGCTGCTGGGTCAATTTCACCAAATAATCTCAGTGTGCCTTCAGTAACGCCTCCATGCGTGTCCTGTTTTCTTGCTACACCAGGAGTCGATCAGGTGCATACAAGTCACGGCCCGCTTCCTCTTTGCCGTCATTATCATCGCCATCTATACAAGGAGCAGCAGGATCAGCAGCACCAGCTGCATCAGATGCATTGGCAGCAGCAGCAGCAGCAGCAACAGGCAGTGCAGCATCATGCAATCCGGTGTCAAGCCAGCAGGGGAAGGAGGGAGATGAGAGCAGAAGCGGCAGTGAGCAGTGTACAGTGTGTCTGGAGCCTTTCCAGGAAGGCGAGATGGTTCGTCTGCTACCATGCCTACACCAGGTGTGTCACTTCACCGATCCGCCCTGAAGTAAAGCGTGCAGTGAGATGCACTGAAACCATTGCATTTTGGATGCATGAAATCACAGCAATGTGTCTTCCTCTCTGTTCCCCTCCCTTTGCTTTTGCCAGTTCCATTCGCAGTGTATTGATCAGTGGCTACAATGCCAAGCCAACTGCCCTATTTGCAAGCACCAGCTTGTGCTGTCATGAGACGATTCCTAGTGTGTGCTAGTAATATATTGCAAGGACACTGATATATGCGCAGCAGTTTGTTGTGTTCTCCCCCCACTAGTCCCACCGTATGTTTACTGCATCGTTTCCACTGTTCCCTTCTCCAAAATTTAGATAGGTGTCGCTTCTAGAGTAACAAGTTTGCGGTATCAAATTTATGATATCCAGAAAGGGATAAATCACAGTTGTTGTACCCAATCACCCTTGGCCCAATCATCCATGGTAGGGGGACCTCTTGTGGTGTCCACATGCCATTCCGGGCTGGGAGCCTGGGAGTACCCCCGGTTATGGGATGTCCGCCATGTGCATCACATTTCATGCATCATGCATGTACTGTACAACAATCACCCCGGCCTGGTGTGGTGGTGTGGTTTGCAGCAGGGGGACATAGGGGGTACTGTACGGTGCGGACAAGTCACCCGCCGCAATTGACTGGGTGATATCTCGCTATTAGCCAATGAAACTCACGATTCACATGGTCACACACGAGGCTGCTCTGCTTTTGACCTGGACTGTCTGCCAACGAAGCAGGACAGCACTTCTGCGGCTCGCCACGCGTAACCTTTTATCCAATCAAATATCCTTCTCCAACTCCGCTCCGCTTCCCCCGGACTTCCCTCCCCATTTCAGTCAACCCCTCGTTCGTTTCGCATCCTGCGCTCCCCCAGCCCAAACCAACCCCAAGGTCCCTGGAGATGCCATTGTGCCAAATTCCATTCCAAGAAAAGCTCCACATTTTGACAGTTCAGGCATTCACGCATTGGTCGGTTTCGCTGACCTTCCTATTCACCCTTTGACATTCGCTTCTTGTTTTGAGCCAGGCTCCCTTGTGTCTTCTTCTCATCTCGTCTATCAAACTCGCTTCGAGAAACTACGACTCGGAGGGAGGTAAAGAAAGTCGGACGTCAGACCATTTTTCTGGAGTTTCGACGACTTCGCGACCATGGCTTCCAGCGAGAAGGTTCTGCGAACGGACACAATGAACGAGAATGTGCTCAAGACGGTGTACGCCGTCCGCGGCGAGCTCTATCTGCGAGCCGCGCAGCTTCAAGCCGAAGGCAAGGAGGTACGCGAATGACATTGAAGTTGAATCCGTGCGAATTGTCACTCAGCCTTACAGTATAGTTCACCCCATGATGTCTCTATCAACATGCATGTTCCTCCTTGCCGACAATGCTGACACCTGAAGCATGATGTTAACATCATGCATGTTATTGATTTGTTTTCCCGTCCGAGTTCCTTGCTTTCGTGCAACTGCAGATCATCTTCACGAACGTCGGCAACCCGCATTCTCTCGGCCAGAGAAGCCGATGACTTTCCCTCGCCTCGTGAGTCCCCTTCCATTTTCCACGCGTTCTTGTTACCAAATCTCCACTGTTCGGCCTTAACTCTTCTCGTCATTACAGATGCCTACATTCTGTCTACCATCATTCCGACGGAGCTTTGAAATATCAATTTCCGTCGTCGGTTCTATCAAGTTCTAAACGCCTGAAATGTGCGACTTTTCTCCTCATCGTCATCCCCAAGGTCCTCGCTCTCGCGGAGGCGCCCTTCCTGATGGAAAAACCCCGAGACCGCCAAGCTCTTTCCAGCGGACGCCATTGCTCGCGCTAAGAAGTACCTCTCCTTCACCACAGGCGGAATCGGTGAGTCGAGTTTTCGACACGCGTAAAAAACGCAGAGTGAGTGTTTGGAGAGGCCAACAGAAAGGCGGAATGCGTGTCTGGATAACGCGGTCAAGTTCCGAAGCGCTTCAAATAATCACTTGCCAGGCCATTAAGTTCCAAGAAGGCTACTAGAAGCTTGTCCAATGCAAGATCTGCTGGCATTGCCATTTGCTCAACAGCTGTTAATAGGATTCTGTTCACATTAGGAGAAGCGTCTCCACTTCATAAATCTCGTGTTTTTCTCACCATCTTGAGGATGTCCACATATCCACATTTCCACCTTCCCTGTTTTTGCGCGTTTCCTTCCCCTACTGGCTCCCCTCTCAGGCGCGTACAGCGACTCCCGCGGACTGGCGGGCATCCGCAAGGAGGTGGCGGAGTTCATCGCCAAGCGGGACGGCTTTCCCTCGTGAGTGCATTCCGCTGCTGTAGGGAAGGGGAGCGAGACTGAGAATGGCACTAAACGAGACTGGGACTAATACGGAGGCTGACAGAGATCTGGAGTCTATAATACGAGCGTTGCTTAAAACATGCTTTCCTTTGTTCGAAATGGGGAAACTGCCAATCTTCTTTCTTTCTTCTCTTACTACCTTCAGTTTCGTCCCTCTCCTCATCTTCCATCGCTCATCTCTCCACTGCTTCGTCTCCCTCCGCTTCGTCCCCTCCCCTCTCTCCCTGCTGACCACATGCCAACTGGGTGCAGCGACCCCGATAAGATCTACCTCACGGACGGCGCCAGCAAGGGAGTGGAGCGCATGCTCAACGTGCTCATCCGCAACGAGAAGGACGGGGTGAGTATCAAAAGAACCGGCGCATTTTCCTCAGCGCTCATTCGCATTCGACGCAACGCTCTCGGTCGCGCGATGCTCCCTTCTAAGTATCTCCCCGCACTCATCTCCCTGCACCGCTTCCTACGCCCTTCTGTTTTTCCGCCTCCCTTTCCCACCCCCTGCCCGCCGTCTTCCCCCCATCCCCAGATCCTGTGCCCCATCCCGCAGTACCCGCTGTACTCCGCGTCGATCGCGCTGCT